TTCTCCACTTCATTGGCCGCACCCAAGAAAAATCCACAACACTACTATCACAGCGGTCACGAGTCCGACCAGCTCAACATCTGGATCCGAGAGCTGCAGAATGAAGCAGACAGCACAAGAGCTCTCAGACTCATGGATCAGATCACAGGTCCGTCTCTTCCTGCACAACTGGACACACCACACAACATATAGTCCTGTATTTCAGTGTCACTGACCTTCAGTTTCTTGCAGAAACCCCTGGGAATTACTGGAAGCTGCATCATGTGCAGCTGAACGCAAATAAGTCTTTCCAAGTTGTGTTTGAAGCGCGTAAAGGAGCTGGAAACTCCAGTGGAGGCTTCTCACTGGACGATATCAATATTTCAGAGACAGAGTGTCCCCTCATATGGCAGATAAAGGACTTTGAGAAGAAACTGAACAGTGGGGACAGTGAACTGTACAGTCCACTGTATTACTCCAGTGATGGGTATCGCTTTGTGGGTTTGTTATATGAGTACGATCATCAACTTATAATGCATATTTATCTGGTATCTGGTGCATATGATGAGCAGCTGCAGTGGCCTTGTCCATGGAGGCAAATCACCGTCCAGATCCTGGACCAGAATCCACACATACAGAAGCGCATGTCCTTTGAGCAGAGCTTCACCACTGACCCTAACTTAATTAATCATGGTTAGATCTTTAATGCAATCTGATTATTTTTCTGTCATTTTTCATGTGTTTATATGAAACATTTTACTCAAATGAGAATCAATGTTATTATCTGTAGCTTTTATGGTTCTTTTGAAAGCCATGTTTTGTTCTCTCAAAAGACATGTATTACTGGGACAATCCTCGATTTGTTGGCAATCAGCGGTGAGTCTGTATTTTTGGGTGAAAATGCCTATGTTGTGCTCCTAACAAAAGAAGATCTCGCTAGAAGAGAGTTTATCAAGGGTGGAGACCTCATATTGCTCTTCACCATGCAAGGTAGGATTTGTGAAGGAACCTCAGAAAACAAGTTTAACTGCAGTATTAACTGAGCATTATTAGACTGAGATTTCTGAGCACATCTCTATAAATGTTGTTCATCAATCCAGATATCTCAGCGCTGCTTCAGAAGCACTCTCTACCCTGCCCTAAAGTAACTGTGAAGAACTTCAACGTTTCTACTGACGCAAGCGCCCAGCAGGAACCATGTGCTACAAGGTGAGTTTCCTTCTAACCTCTGTCGCACTCTTATTGAAAATACACAGATCAAAAAAGCACTTTAAAAATAACACTATATTCAAGAAATAGTGTAGGAGAGAACATGCTGTATTGTGTGAATATAGTGACACATGTAAGGCTGGAAGCTTATGTTACTATTGTGAACTAATAATCATAACAAAATACAGGTGAAGGATGACGTGCGTAATTCAGTTATTAATCTGATTCCATTTAAGATTTTGTTATTCTTTGATCTCCTATTCTTTAAAGGCAAAAGTCTTTCTTAGAACTGATTGGAAAATACAGGATTGAACCTGAATGTTTACATAATGAAAGTCACATTGGGCCTCATTTATCAATCTAACGTAGAAACGAGCGCAGATCCGTGCGCACAAATCAACTTACGACAGAGTTCACGTGTGATTCATGAAACATTCGTATGCCGCCAATCTCATCGTACGAATGATCGTATGTTGATAAATGTGGCGGCAGAAAACAATCATCATTTGAATATCACGCCCCTAAAAACACCCCGGTTTAGAAGCCACGCCCCTTGAGTTTACGACACGGAGAAACGAAACCCGGCCAAAAAGAGGATTGATCTTACTCCAAAAACACCCGTTAACCTTGTAATCGCAAACAATTAGGCTACATTAATGTATATCATTTATATGTATATTAAAATACTGGTAAATATAAACAGCCTATTTAGTTCCCCTCACTCTACAACAAATATTTTAAATTTAACGGTATTCAGAACAGAACAAGAATGAAAAATAAGTAGTTATACAATTATATATTAAACTATAAAATAAAACACAAATTAGGCTATAGTGGCATTCATTATAAACAGCATACAAATGTAAAGCAAAACTGAAACAGCATTGGGCTAATGAGCCAGTCTCATACGACAATAATCCAAATGTTTCCATTTTTGCCATATTTGTAACATTTGTTTGCATACATATTCATTATGTAGCCTAAACAAGGCTTTATACTTCACTCATGTTCTAATATCCGTGTAAAAACATGGCCTTACACTTTACTCATGTTCTAATATCTGTGTAAAATCCTTCACATGCGCAAAAATGTTTGTTTGGGCGCTGAACTAATGTTGTTTGTGTGTGTGTGAGGCACTTGTGCGATCAGATGGATGAAATCAAATAAAGATATAAAGAAAAGAAATAAAATGCATTAAGAGCGTCACAAAAACGAGCGTAGCCTATAGAAATAGTCTTTACTACCCTTTGTTTAAACTTAAATCATCTTGGGTTTAAATGTGTTATCTTTGACAGGTGAAAAATGCAGGTGAACTAATCCTACTTGTTGCACAGTGTTTTTTTCCCCTTTTGTTAATCTGTTAATTATATTATAACCTATTATATATTTAGTGTGGTCCTATTTATTTTATTCCTTTTATAGACTTAATTTCTGTTTTCTCCTTTCACAGAAGCGCTGCAGGTGCATGATGCAACGATTGAATCCTCATGGTCTTGTTTACGCTGCTATTCACGCATATAGCCTAAAGCTAGCCCTGTATATATATTAAAAAAGGACTGAAGAATCTTACTGGTTAACGATCGACTAATGAGCTTCGTTTGACGGTCAGGAAAATAAAAATGAACAAAATGCTGTCATTCTACAATTCTCCACCATATTGCTACGCTGCGCGCAAGTTCAGGGGCCTGATGTATAAACGTTGCATACGCAATTTTCCTCGCACATGTCGGGATTTATAAAAAAATTAACTAGGCGTAAATATGTGCGCACTGTACGGACACTCTAGACCATGCGTACGCACTCTTTTACTGGAGGGAGCGAAATAATGAAGCAAACAATGATTTTAAAGTCTCTTTGACATTTGACACACATTTAGATTAAATATGACACTCTGAATAATGAAGTTAAGCACTGAAATTTCATGAAAATATTATCCAGAAATTACAACATTTGTACATGAATTTAAACAGAAATATTTGCAGTGGATGTGCTGCTTTCGAACTATTTTCCTGTGGTATGTGATTTAATGTTTTAATCACAGCGAGGATTGCTTGGCGCATGACAATTCTGCTTTAAACTGTGTTCTAAATAGCAAAACTCATGTTCTGAGAAAATACTTTTGCGTGAATAATGATCACTGATGTGAACTTGATTCGTCTGATGGCGTTGGAACATAGACGGTAACGACAGACATAAGGATGCACTTGTTGATCAAAAAGTCCATTGGTCCGATGACAGTAGAACTGTTCTCAGGTGTCGCGCACAGACATAGCCTAATGATAACCTTTCGTGCTCTTCCCAATATTGTGACAAACACCATAGTTAAAAGATAGAATTTGAAGGAAACTGTCAGATATGCGCGACTCATAAGCTTTGAGCTAGGGCTGGGCGATTTAGCAAAAAATTTAAATCTCGATTTTTCCAGAATGTTTGACCGATTCTCGATTTTTTACGATTTTTAACTAGTCAA